TATGCTTAAAAGCTCCCCTGTTCAATGTCTTCACCTCTAAACTTAAATAATGACTCCTCAGTGATGCTTTTGGGAGCTTTTCAACCAGTTTTATCTCAGCAAGCTCTCGCAGGGCCTCTTCTGACAAAGAAGGCCAAGCTCTTTCCACTATTTCCTCAATCTGATGGTATTGCTCGATTATTGGTCTGCTGAGGCTTATCTGGTATTTTTCTAACCGTTTTTTAGAATCAATTGCTGTATTTGAATTACATTCCTCTAGAGCGTAAAGAACGTGCGCGGTTTTAGGCACACCCTCAATTCGCCCTAATTTCCTTATCACTTGGTGTTTAAGAGAATCCCGTAGATGGGCAATTAATTGAGTAACTCTCAAGCGTTCTTCCGTAATTCCTGCCAAACTAAGTGCGAACACACTGTCATTGTACCAAGAAGTAAGATTTTTAAATCTTCAAAGCCTATATGTTTAAGGCTCACTTTTACCTTTGCTTGGTCCTTTGTTTCTAAAAATGCATATTGTTCCAAAACTTGATCATTTTCCATGATCTCATTGCCTGTATCCTGCCATTCCGAATGATTACTCGAACCTGCAGACCTCTCTTTTCTCCTTTTATCCTCTTCCGAGATAGCCTTTTCTTGGAGTGATCTCCTGATCCCCTCTCTCATATCTTTCTGAAATGCTGTTTCATTAAATGTTGGTCTTGGTAAGTCATGACGTGCGTAACCGTCAAATTGCGTGTTATCATGATTTTCAAATCTGATGTTTCCTCTCGGAAATGCTGGAGTGGATATTGCTTTTGGATCTAAGCCTGGCTTACTTTCAATTTGTTCACTGTTCTCGTTAGGCAAAGTATTGTGATTAAAACGCACTTCCCTTACAGGAGTGCGTGCTTCCGTTACAGGAGTAGGTGCCTCGTTTTTTGTTCGAGAATAGATGAATTTATTCAGTGGTATATTGAATTGTGGATATCCGTACAGATCATTGATAATTTCTTTGACCATTTTTTGTCCTTTCTCATTTGAAGTTCCAAATTCCATGTTTTCAACCATTTCAGCGTTTATTTTGAAGAACATACTTTCTATCTCACTAATATTTATATCTGTTATTTCATCATAATACTCTTTTATTGTAATAGCCTCTCCCGTTTCATCCTTATAAGGCTCGGATACTGGGGCCATAAATGCTGAACGAACCACCCCCTGCTCATAATAATATGAACCGAAACTTACAGTATCACCTTTTTCTCAAGTTCCTCAAAAACTTCCTTTTAAGCTTATCCTTAAAATTATTCTCAAAATTTTCTTCATTAATTGACTTAAGAATGAGGTTTAACCCTGGCTTATTTATCCCTTTAAGTTTTACCTTTGTTTTAAATAGTCCTTTCTGAGAATGGGGAAAGATTCCTCACCCTCTTCATCTCCCATTTTGTTTTACCTTAGGATAATAATTCCCTTCCTGATAAACTCCTTTTTGTTGATTTTGTTGATCTTCTTCAGGAAAAAAATTTTAAGTGAAAATGAAGTAAAAGTTATATCTCTGGGTTTGTGAGTCCGTCTTAGTATTCTTCAGTCACCATTTATAATAAAGAACTGGTAAGCAAGACTCGAGCGGTGAGCTTGATTGGATATTTATTGAGAGATGGAGTGAACTGAAAGGGAGTTGAACTTGGACTCATGGAACGCAGGGACGAGTGCTGATTATAAGCTGAATTATGTGTGCACAGTAAAATATGAAGTGACGCGAAAGAAGTGTAGGACAAAGGAGAGAGACAGTAACTGGAGGAATCATAGGAAGAATTGTCGTTCGAGATTAATCAAGAATCTCTAGTCGTCAAAACCTGAGTCAGGGTCTGAAATATCATCTAAGAAAAGCTGCGTATGATCTTTTAGACCCTGACTCAGGTTTTCTACACAGGTTTCCGAGCCCGATAAAAAGAAAAAAGGTTACTTTGTTCTTTCCTATTTTCGCTTTCGCTCACGAAATTTTCATTCGCTTCGCTTCGCTTTCGCTTTTAATTTTTGAAAAATTTTCGCTTTCGCTTCGCTTTCGCTTTTCATTTTTGGCCAAAATCCAGACCCCTGCTCGAGTAAGAAATTATCATGTAGATTTTTATCAAGACATCAGCCTAGTACATATGAGATAGGCTAAAGGAGTCAAGAGGATTTGGGATTCTGTTAAGGGTTCTGTAAAGTTTAGAAAAAGTAACTTCCATTTTTTCATCAGATAAGCTGCTGCATTTAGTCTGTGTCTATCGTCTTTTTTAACCAAAAATATTTTCGAATTATATAATTCGCTAATCGTTTCTAATACGAGAAATTCGAAACCGAACATTCGAGATATTTGGTTTATTATCGCCAGAAAACCAAAATAACATCGTCGCCGAATTATAAAATAAGCGATAGTTCAACTTTCAAGTTTGCGATTTCATCAGAAAACTTTCAAGAAAGAGCTTTCTGCTTGCTCTTTTCAGAAAAAGCTGGCCCCTTGTCTATCCTCTTTCATTCTCCATGTTTCCCTTTGTTCATCTCTTGGGCTACGTGGCCTTACAAATGAACTCGGCTCGGCAACCTGTGAAGAAAACCTGAGTCAGGGTCCTCATAGAAACTAGGCGACTATTATCAAAAGAATTATTTGGGACCCTGACTCAGGTTTTCGGCGCAGATTATCGAGCAGAATTCATTTGTAAAGCTACGCAGCGCAAGGATGAATAAGGGGATACATGTAGAAAGAAAGAGGATGAACAAGGGGCCCCTTTTTCAGATTGTCGAGCCCTGAATAGTTTTATCCCGGAAATAAAAGGCTACGTGGCACAAAGCTCAACAAGGGCATACTCAAAGAAAATGTGAGGGTGAACAAGGGGCCCCTTCTTTTTACTTAAAGATGTCGATGCTCGTATCTCCGTTCATAAAAGAAAAAGAAAACGAAGAAACAAGTGTTCTTGGATGAAAATTGAGCTACTCTGTTTTGCGCAAAAACTGAATTAGGCTGCGTCAGTCCGCTGGAGCGGAACTCGTTCTCGTCACTCGAACACAACAAAGAACCGAATTTCCTAATCCCGTGAGCTTACGTATTATCTAACACAAATTTACGTTGAACACAGAAAACTCGTTTTTTCAGCCAATTTTGTGTTACTAACCTATTTTTACGGTTTGACTGTTTTTCCTCATTTTTCAGAAATTCAGTATTGCTAACTTCACTTTTATCAGCTGATCTTTTGATATGAGCTAGAAAATTATCTTTTCAGCTGATTTCTCTTGATTCTAGAGCTGTTAAAATAGAACGTGCGCTAGAAAAATAAGTTTCTAAGACCGAAATTTACAGCTGACTCAAGTCGGGTTAACAAAGTGACACCCTTATTTGATGAGATCAGAAAAAGCTTTATGATTCGACGGTGTTTCTCGTTAATTAGTGCCGCTAAAAATGACTTTAGTAAGTAGAGATTATCAAATTCCCAGGGACATGCGTGGCCAAGATTCTAGTCCAGTTTCAAGTCTGAATTTTTCCGGGTAATTAACGAATTCAATCAAAAAACAGCTCAATCAAGCCTTTTTCATAACAAAAAATTACTCAAAGAAGATTATTTTAGCACTGTGACTTGGATACAGTAAACGAAATTGTGGAAACATCAAAAAACAACTGTCTTATCACTTTTTAAAAACGCGCAGGTCTGATAAAACCAAAACGTTTTCCCTGCAAAAGCAGCAATCTTGGATAACGCACGAAAATATTATGTTTTCAACCCTTTGATTCGCGGATTAAAACCAGCCCGAAAACGATTATTACCGAATTTTCGAGTCAAATCGTTTTTGAACAAAAAATCGACTTTTGGCAACATTGGCACGTCAATTATGCCCTTCCTCGTTTCATCCCTTCCCGTTATTTCCTTTTCCATCCCTTTTTCTATTTTTAGAAAAAAGAGAGCAAAATTGATGACTTTTAATAGCCGCTGCTTTCGAAGGTATTTGCAGTCAAATCCGCAATTTGGAAATGAGCTTTGAAATTTTAGATTTTTCAATTTTCAACCCTCCCGGAAATGGAAAAAGAAAAGAATGATGTCAGTAAGGAGAAAAGCGGAAAGTGACAACAAGACGATTTGCCAAAATCCTTCCGCTCACTTCAAGAGGGATCAAAACATCACGTTTGGAATCGGGCTTCAAAAGAGGCTTCAAGGTTACTGTATCAAGAGAAGGAAACAAGAGGATTAGTTTTGGTGATGACGAAGCTTTTTGGCATTGAACTTGACGCTTTTCTTCTGAGAAATCTCTTCTAATCCAAAAGAAATAAGAAAGCGACACTGGTTATCTCGCCGAATGTCCCCGACTGTCGTTTTATGTCGGCAAATGTCGCCTAAGATCGCCGTTTTTTTGCCTTTTTCATTGGTCATGTGACATGACTCATGTCGCTACATTCGGCGACATTCAGCGACATTTGACGAGATTCAACGACATTCAGCGACATTCGGCGACATTCAACGACATTCAGCGACATTCAGCGACATTTAGCGACATTCGGCGACATAATCAGTGTCGCCCAGAAATAAAGGGGCTGGCGTTTCTTCTGAGCCAATAAGAGGCAAGTATTCTCTTTCTCAGCCAATCAGAAAGTCGATTTACCATTTTCTCTCCATTTTGCTTGCTCATGAAATTTGCGTCTATCTTTTTGATCTTGATCTTTTTGCCGTTGATGCGATTTATTATCGCGTATTCTATTATCGATAAGACAATGTCAAGAGCGATAAGGTCATTTTTGTTTGAAACAAGATTTTGGCTTCTTCTAAAAGTCAAACTGCAGTATTCCGCTCGCTGCCCGGAAGAGATTGCACAATTTTCACGTGACGAATATTCAGATTCACAATTTTCAGAAATTACAGATGTTTAATTCAAAAAACGTGACGAATTTTTTCCAGATTTTTTTTTTTATTTTTTTTCCGAGATTTGATAGAAGGGAAATTTCAGCTTTTCAGACCCTGACTCAGGTTTTCTGCACAGATTGCCGAGACGAGCCTTTAATTGTTTTCCTTTTTCTTTTCCACCTTTTTCGACTCGATCTTTTTTGATTCCACGATCTTGGAATTTTCGAAGCGCGGTATTCTATTGAGGAGAGACTTTTCTTCGTCTTCTTGAGAAAGAAATCGGTATAGGGAAGAATAGTATCGACCGCGATATCGACGATTCTTATAATCGTCAATCATTCTCTTAAAATATTTGTTGTCGTGAAAATTTTCTAAACAGCGTTACCTCTCTTACTCTAGACCTATAACTCCTCAACTGCGAGGGATAAGGTCGAAACTCTCGTCGGCGCCAAAAAGCAGAGCCGACAGCGAAAAGCAGGAAGAAAAAGAGATTCAACTTCATTTTTGATTTCTTTTTTCGCAATATTTTGAGGGTCCTCAAAAACTTGGATTTTATAGTCTGCTGATCAGTCAAACTAATAAACAAGTACAGTAAGATAAACAAGAAACTAAACGAGAACTCGTGAAAGAGAATTTTGTTTCTCTGTCTCAAAGACCTTGGAGCAGCTTTCTATTGTAGCCCCGATTCGGCGACTTGTTTAAAAATCCTGAGTCAGGGTCTCAAACAGCTTCAACGAAAGCCGCGATGCGGTTAAAAAAAAGCCGCAAAGCGTCGCGGCTTTTCATTTGTCTCTTTAAAAACCCTGACTCAGAATTTTGACACAGGTTGCCGAGCAAAGATCTAAGCTCTATCAGAGCCTGACTCAGGTTTTCTATACTGTATAGACTATACAGTAACACTCAGAAACACGAGCCAAGGAGACAGCTATCAGAAAATCTCATCCTGATTATTGAAAGTAATTAACTTCGCCAATCAACTTATTTTGAGTGGAACGATCATCGAGCAAACTTATCGTGCTTCAGTAGCTGATCCGGGCCGACACCTCCGAACACTCCAAAAAGCCACGTTCAGTGAGCTACAATTAACCCTCGATTAAAATTAAAAATTCGCTTACAGTTTGGAATTTTTAAAATTGCCCCTCTACACGTCTAAGCAGGAAGAAGAGAGAGCCGCTCGATTAAACTTCCGCTGTTAATTATTATCTGACCGCGACGGAACTTTTTCGGCGAAGAACAAGTACTCACAGGAAACAGGCGACTGTAATTGCCAGTATTCGAGGCGTTTGACGATTCGCCAAAATGTGAAAAACAGAGAAAATATTGCTCACGCTGTATTTCGATTTTTGGAAAGAAGCAGCTAAAATAAAGCCACCGAAGAATGATGTTTTTTGAAACTAAATTTTTTACTTACAGGCAAAAATGCTCATCAAAATGTAAAATATAGTCATTTTTCGGGGAAAAACTTTTTTTTTAAGGAAAAGAGAAAAGGATCCAAAAAATCTGTTGAAAAAGACCTATTATTAAAAGACTTTTAAGGCCTTTTAAAAGCCGCTTATTTAAGGGGATGGCGTCAGGAATCGACAAAAAAAAAAATCGAAAAATTTTGCGTGGGTGGCTCTTTGGCTGCTGATTGGCAAATTTTCAGGCTTCTTATTGGCCGATTTTGAGCCTTCTTATTGGTCGAAAATTTCCACGCAAAGTTTGTCGGGATTTTTTGTTGGTTCCTGACAACTCCCCTTATTCTAATCGCGCCTTTAGCTTTTCATGATCTCGAAGCCGCAAGCGGCTTCTCGATTTTTTGTTGAGAGTTCAGGAAATGCTCTTTCTTTGGCCGCTAAAGCCACTGTTTTTCGTGAAACAATATAGATTAGGGAGGAAATCCAAGGTGAGCCAAAGTTTCTTTTTTTGCAACTCTTGTGCAACAGGTAGCAAGCTCAAAATGCGAACTTCGAGCAAAAGAGTGTCACGTGACTCACGTAAGCAAAAAAAAGAAGCAAATCTTGAGTTGGATGCATAGATAAGCGCCGTGCATAAAATCCCACCGTGTCTTTCTAAGATCGCGGCTTGGATTTGAATTTGAACTAGAATTTGACCCGGGTTCGCGGCTTCGATAATAAAACAAAATGAAGCTGCGGCTTTTTTTTTGTTTTTCCTAGATCTTTTTGAGAACCTACTGTTAGATACAGTAGTTAGGGATCAGATAAGACGAAATTGAAGCCGCACAAGCGCGGCTTTTATTTTGACCTTCTCGAAGCCGCAAGCGGCTTTTCGATAACCCGAGTTTTTGAACGAGTGAACTTGAAAATGATGGCTGAATTGTCCTTTGTCGAAATTGTCAAGTTCGCGCTGCGCTAGAAGAAGCGCTCAAATCTATCCCCGCGCTAGTTGCCCTGGCGCGCCCTCATTTTCGCGCGTTTTCAGAGAGCGCGCCAGAGCGGGCGCAATTTCAACTTGAAGAAAACTGGCAAAAGACGAAGACTAACTGTCAATTAAAGTAAAGAACCTCCGTGTTCCTCTGTCAGGCTCGATTTTTTTCACTTTTTTACGTTTTTCAAAAGCCTATTTGAAACTTTTGTTTTCCGATTTTTCCGATATAGAGAGATTGGAACGACTTTTCATTGAAATCAAAAATGAAAATTGCTATTTCTTTGATTGCTTCGGTTTTTGGAGTGCCAAGCGAACAGGCATGGATTGAGAGAAAATAAAATGAAGTTGAAAAGAATTTTTTTCTCAAAAATAATTATCTCATTATTCAATTAATTTTAATTGTTATTTTTATAATTTTTTTTTTTTTGAATTCAAATTTAAAAAAATTTATATTTTAAAATTTTCGATTTGAATTAAAGAAGAAAGAATTGATAATTTGGTAAAGAAAATAAGGGTGTCACAATTTTACCGGATAAATTTTTCGAACGAAATTCGCCATTTTAAAGGATTTCTAACAAGCAAGTTGCAAGGAAATCCCTTAAAAAAACTTTTTTTTTCGAAGAAGTATTGTATCCGCGAGAATGGTGACACCCTTATTTTCTTTTTCAATAAAAATGAATACTCTGTTTTATATATACTCTGAGTTATTAAAAAGGTCAAATTAGAGTTTCTACCCTTAATTTAAAAGGTTTGTTAACAAAAAGCGGAAATTTTTAAATCAGTTTGGGGACACCCTTAAAATCGAATAAGAAAATAGTCAATTCTTTCCTTGGAAACCGCCTCTTTCCGAAGTGAAAACCTCAAGTTCGCCCTCTTGATTTTTGATACGTTTTTGATCGGAATTAAATCTGACCCTTGAATTGAGAAAAAACGGGCCCGAATTAATGCTCCTTCTGACCTCTTATTCGCGCGCTTCCGTTCCCATCCCTCTCCGACGGAAGTACTTCGTCATCCCTCAAACTTTAACCACACATATTTTTTTTTGACTGCACATAGCCTTAATCTTCTTTTGACTTATAATCTGGACTTTCTTTCGTAAGGGGGTCTTCTTTTGACAGTTTTTCTCATTTTTAAAGAACCAAAATGTCCAAAAAAGAAAATATAAGGTTTTTATTAAGGGTGTCACACTCTTATGATTTTTCCAAGGTTTTTAAAGGGAACTTTCTATCAATTGCACTCATTTTTCGATTATTTTTCGATTTTTTAAGAGATTCTTAGAAAAACTTCAAAAAATTTAAGATTGAGACACCCTTAATATTTTTATTGAATTTCTGAATTTTTGAATCAATGAATCTTTTTTTGATTCTATAAAAATTTTAAATCAAAAAGATGAATAAAAATTGATAGAAAAAATGACTGCAAAATCATATTTACAGTAAGATAGTAAAAAACCATGATGACGTTAGTGGAGTTCAAAAATAACAAAAAAGGTTCTGGTAAGATTCGGAAAGTCGTGGTTTTTAACCAAATTAATCAAAAATTTATCTTGCCGGTCAATTTTAGGTCATTTAGCCTTTTAAAACAAACCGCAGCGAAAAATAGACTGCAGCTTTAGTGAACTCAAGATCTGTCCCTGTGGTTGTTTTTTCGTGTCCTGTAGCTACTGTAGATATGAAGGGAGAAGTTTTGATGATTTTGAGCTTTTGAAGTTTTGGGAAACTTGGACACGCGAAATCGCAATTTTAGCGCGTCGAACTCATCATTATTTTGATATCAAGGACGTGTTACTACGAGAGCTTTTTCTAGCGATGCGCTGGCGAATGTTTGATGGAGGAAAATTTTGATGATTCTTTAAAACTTTAAGTTATAAATGGTTCTTTAGAAATGATAAGCGGACGATAAAAGATTATTAGTAATAATCAAGTTTTCGGTTGGGGTTTGATTATGTGATAAATTAAGGAGTCACAACGAAATCACCAATTTTAAGTAGGCGCTTATTGAAGGTAAGGGTTAAGATAAAAATAAAAAATAATGGATTCAATAATTTATTTTTATCTTAACCCTAACCTTCAATAAGCGCCTATTTAAAATTGGTGATTTCGTTGTGACTCCCTTAATTTAGCACATAATCAAACGGTAACAATAATTGACCAAAAACTTGGGCTTAGATTGGAAAAATTCTTTCCAGAAAAAATGCAACGTTACTCGTGTTCCTGGGTAAAAACAGTTTTGCACGCAATAAGACTTAGCAAAACGGTAGTTTTATTCAAGAGGCGAAGTTCATTTCTCTCCAATTTGAAATCGCTAATTGCGCAAATCCTAGAAACCGAGAAAAGTTGCAAGATGATCAACGTGGCAGTGGCGTGATGTTAGAGTACACGGAGGGGATAATCCAGACCCGATTACTTGATCATTCCAATAGACTCATCCGCTGCGCACCGTCTAAGTTTCGAAAGTCCAAAAGATAAGGCGTTTTGCAATCTACTTATCAAAAACGATTATGGACCCGTTTTTGACAAACTCTGAGTTGGCAAACCTTATCTCACTTTTAAAATCCTCTTCTTTATTTTTCAATTTTTCTTATTATTTCAAAGAATTTTAAATAAGGGCGTCACTCCCTTAATTTCTAGAAAGAAATCTTCAAAAGAAAAATCATATTTAAAATCTAACAAATCAAGTTTTTAGTGATTTCTTCGAGAAACCGCTTCCGGCTTCAAGTAATTTTATAAAAGCCGCGCTTTGCGCGGCTAATTTTATGTTTACTCGAAGCCGCGAGCGGCTTCTCGAAGAAATCATCAAAAACTTAAGTTGTTAGATTTTAAATTTTATATTTGCGATTGAAAATTTCTTTCTACTGATTAAGGAGTGATACCCTTATTAAAAATTCTTTGGATATAAAGAAAAAGTGAAAAATATCTTCATGACTCTCTTGGCAGATTTGTTCATGAAGACTTTATTAATAAAAAAGACGATAAAGTTGTATGTTTCTCTGTTTAAATTTTCTGTACGTAGCGGGCTGGGGAATACGTGGTGCGTCGGCAAGTATTACCGGTGGGTGCTTGAAATTCACAAAATGCGCGAGGATCAGACACTCGCCAAAATGGGGACATATGCATGACGCGGTGAACGCGCTGGGCATCCTTAACCGGCTTGGATCAACCAGATGCAGAATTTCACTCCCGCATTCCTACGCATCTTGAGGCTTCTTTCTTTAAGTTTAAGTTTGAGCAATTTTTCTAGTGACAAAAATCCTTGGCTGTCTTATCGAGAAGCCGTTTTCGGCTTCGAGCAAACAATATAAAAAAGCCGCGCGAAGCGCGGCTAAATATTCTTCTCAAAGCCGCAGTGATTTTTGGTAAGAAAATAAGGGTGTCACTTTGATAATTTTTTGAAAAATAAGTTAAAAGGAAAAATTAGATTCTGACGTCTACTCCCTTAATCCTTCCGCACCAATTTATTGTCCTCCACGCAGAAAAGGGTTAATTTTCAGGAAAGCGCTTAAAATTTAGACGAGTAAAAACAGAACCAGCACTTTTGGCGAAAATGACCGTGTCGAGTCCCTGTTCATGACACGCGCGAAAACAGGCCACTTGTTCAGCTTATTTTTGAAGCTTTTTGCGAAGTTTACATTTTCAAGCGACGCGAAATTCCCTTTCAATCATAAGTTGATTCTGAATTGAGGCGTGCTAGAAAGAACTACGGAATAAAAGAATTTGGAAATCACTTAGACCACAAAAACCAATCGTTTGCTAATGACTTTGGATTCCGAAGCCCTTCAGATCGCGTCAGAGTCTTAGTTCAACTAACCACTTGAGGTTTGCACTGAATGTTACTGGACAAACGGACAGTTCCTTACCAACGTTCAGACAAATTACAATAAAGAAACTCGACAAAATTATTCAATATTGAAATGAAAATAAGGGGTTCTCTTCGTTAACAAAAGCTGTTGTAAAAACGGTGAGATACTCAGCCCTGAGCTTTGAAGAAAACCTAAGTCAGGGTCTCAAATTTCTTAAAGGAAAAGCCGCGAAGCGGCTTTTATAATAGAAGCCGCAAAGTTTGCGGCTATTCGTTAAGATATTTGAGACCCTGAATGTTGAAATGAAAATAAGGGGTTCTCTTCGTTAACAAAAGTCATTTAAAAATGCTGAGATACTCATTCCTTACCTTTGTAAACTTTGAAGAAAACCTGAGTCAGGGTCTCAAATTTTCGTTTATGATATTTGAGACCCTGACTCAGGCTTTTGCACAGGTAACAAGGGTTAGGGATAAGCATCTCAGCCTTTCTATAATGAGTTTTACTATCGAAGTGAGCCCCTTATTTTCATCTTCATTTTCGACCACCTTTCAGACCCTGACTCAGGTTTTTCACATTTCGATATTTTCCGAATTCGAATAAGAAACACGATTATTTGATAAAAACAGTAAGAACGTGTCAAAACCGCTCTCTAAAAATAATGTATAATCAGACGCTTTTAGCACTGTTGGAAAAGCTTTTTTGGATATTTAGCCAAAATAGTCGGCAGATTGTTTCATCAACGCTGTTTCTTCATAACTCGCCGTTGTCTAAAGCAACACGCAATTGAAAAGAAACGAACGTAGAGTTTGTAAATTAAACGTAACTTTGTTAAGAAACGCGCATGTTTTTGATGAATGAAGAAAACGCAGCTTTCACGGAAAGAATAAACGCTGGTTCTTTTTTGAACCCAAACTCAGCTTTTGGACAAAAGCTCGAATCGGAAAAATAAATTAGAAATTAGAACTTTTGAAAAATTTTTCAGAAATCTGATTGGCCAACCGGCCTAACGAGGACATCTGATTGGTTGAAAATTTTGTCAAAATTGATGCAATTTTCCCTATTCGAGCTAAATCTCTTTAATTTTGACAGAAATTCTGGTGAGATTCTTGACCAATTAAATGTCTTCATTTGGTCATTTGGCCAATCAAATTTTAAAAATATTTTTCCAAAAGATCGAATTCTACATTGCAATATTTTTGTCGAGTCATGGCACCACCCGGAATATTCGGCCTGTTTTACCGAAGTGACACCCTTATTCAACTTTTTCAACGGTATTTGCAATGGTTGACAGTCGTCATATTTTGCGGAAAAAGTCATTGTTGGAACGTCAGCGTGAAAAATATTTTAAGCTAATTGAGCTCCTTAAATGTGCTCGTGGAATGCGCTTTTGGATTATTGGTACACTTTCTCACATTTTTAAGGATATAAGCTATGAATTTGAACTTTCGTAGCGCCTAAATGCGAAGTAGGATCATTTTCACTTCAAAAGTAATCCTACCTAAAAATGCACGTAAAACTCAAATCTGGTATTTTAAAAAAATTTATAGAAAATTTTCGTTTTAGAGCGTTTTGAAATCTTACGCTCTCGATTTCTCGAAATTTTTCCACTAAATCGGTCGAGTTTTTCGATGAATAACTTCTCTTAACCCTTATCTACAAAATTGACGGATCAGTTTTCCCTAATTCCGACCGAAACCGATTTTAGAGCCATTTCCATGAGGCTTATCCAGCGCGTGAATAGTGTAAAAAGCGGCGCGATGGGCGCTCGCTCTCTCAGCTCCTCTTTTCCGTGAGAGTGGCGCGGTTGAGCGGAGCGCTTTGATTGGTTGCACGCGAAAAAGCACAAAAGAAGAAAAACTCGAGCAAGAAAGAGGAAAACGCTAGAATGAAAATTTGAGGGAGTTTCGAAATAAAAACCCGTCAATTTTCTAGCTTAACATCATCAAAATAAAAGACACGGTTTAGTTTTAGCGATTCAATGGAAAAATTCGAGCAATCGAGAGCGTAAGATTTGAAATCGCTCTAGAGAGAAAATTTTCCATAAAATTTTTTCAAAAGTTCCAGATTTGAGTTCTACGTGCAATTTTAGGTAGGACTGCTTTTGAAATGAAAATGTTCCTACGTCGCATTTAGGCGCTACGAAAGTTCAAATTCATAGCTTATATCCTTAAGACCTCATTTTTTGGGGAACGACGTGTGTTTCAAAAAATTTTTTTCCACGACCAAGCTTCTTTATTTTTCGTTTAAAATTATAAAGAAGAAAAAATTTGAGAAAAAAATCATTCTCAAATTGTCGACTCTTTTTCTACTATTTTTCCTAAATTGTCCATAAACCATAACTCCCTAAATTGTTGATTTATCGATCGCCCTTCGCTAAATTGTCAATTAATGATTGAAATTAAGGGTCCTTAATTCCTGATAAACCTTTGAAGAACGCCCTAAATTGTCAATTTTTCGACTAGAAAAAATTCGTCGTAGTCGAAAATCAACAATTTAAGGCGCTATTCACAGGTTTATCGACAATTTAAGGCCCAGATTCGAAAATTAAGGGGAGGGCATTTGTAAAAGATTGCGCTTCCGTGACGCTTCTAATTTGTTCTATCCGCTGAAAAAATAATCCGGAATCATAATCCGACGTAAATTTGATAAAACCCGCTCGCTTACGAAAAGTCCATCTCATAAAGAGTTAGGTTAGGTTCAACTCAATGTTATCTATCAGAAAAATATGCGCTAGAATTGCAAAATTCGTGCTGGAAGACTTAAGGACGGATCTTGAAGATCTTGAAGATCAAGGCAGATCTTAAAATTAAATCAACGGCTGGAGCCTTCACTTAGAAAATTTTCGCGCAACAGGAAAATATATGTTTCAATCTGCCACGCACAAAGTACGAGAACGTGAAGAAAATCAATGATTTTGCAATTTTAACGGTCATCAATTTTTCGAAACAAAAGCGTCATTTTCAGCCGCAATAAGAGGTCAAAAAGCTTTTGATTCGATAAAAAAGAATGCAGACTTCTGATTGGCTCAGAACAACTTTATCTGATTTTTAATTGGCTTAGGCGAACATAAGGGTATTTCATCGAAAACGGGCTTTTTACGGATTTTGATTGGCTTGCAGACAAAATTTCTTTTCTTATCAAAAATCATGTTTTTTTTTCATAAAAAATTTCTCTCCCTCAATCCTTATCAAGATAAACCAGCGACGACCGTCAACAAAAGAAGACACACGTGACTTGTGGTTTGCAGGCTCTCCATCATCCGGTATGTTTTCATTTCCTTCCTAAACTTGGATCTGAACCTTTTCCTTATCTCATTCTAGCGGTTTTTCTATTTAATTTTTAGAGTCGAAATGGAGCAACTTGCGAAGAGTTGTCAATCACTTCAATCCACAAATCGACCATCAGCGGCAAATCGAGTCGTATGGCTGCAGCTGCTTGAACATTTTTTCATATGAAGGGGTAAGTTTTTAAATTAAGGGTGTCAACAACGATCGGTAACCTGCATTAAAAACCTGAATAAGGGTCTCAAAATCTATCATGAAAAGCCGCGATGCGGCATTTTCAAAAACAAGATAAACATTAAGAACAACTTAAGGGTCCCCGTCGACTTTTTGAAAATTTCAAACAGCGTTTTCCCCATGTATACCCTTAATAGTCCAAAATATTTTTATATGCAAATGAAGCTTAGGAAGAGTTCTAGAGCAATAATTATTTATCTCGGGGATACCCTTAAGTAATAGGCTCTAAATCGTCAAATTAAGAGGAATCTTTAATAAATTTTGGCGAAGCATTTTCGCGGCTTTATTCTGAAAAAGCCGCAAAACAACTTTTTCATGAAAGATTTTTGAGACCCTGACTCAGGTTTTCTCGACAGGTTCAGCATCAATTTCCTGATGACGGGTTTTGGAATAAGATTAAGGGTCCAACGTTTCCCGCGGAAAATCGAATTCGTTGTTCAATTTTTAAATTATTTCATTTGAAAAAGCGCAATGTCGCGGTTTAAATGCTCCGCTTAAATTTATTTAATGGACCGGCAAGAATGATCGGATTATAGTTTTTATTAATCCACTCAATTTTCACAATTATAGCGCCACGTTTTAGACGTTTATTTTAGAAAAAAGTCAAAGCAAAGCAGAAAATCTAATTCTAACGGGCTTTCCTAAAAACTAACGTGGTGACACCCTTATTTTTCGACAGAAAAAAGGTTTTTACTCGAAAACCTCCCGTAAGGGGGTATATATCAAGGATTGGATTTGCTATCAGTGTTTTCTCAAATTTTTATCATAGTGACGCCCTTATTTTTTCGCCTCAAAACTTATTTCAGGCAATTATCTATTTGCTATGGAAGCCAAAAATTTAGATTTCTAGAGCTTTCAAGGTGCTTTAATGCAAATCGGCCACCTTGTCGCCAAAATGACCATTTTAGGAAAGTTAGCGATGAAAAATTTTGTTAAATATTTTTTGAAATCCGAAATTTCGGCTTCCAAAGGAAAAAAGAAAGGTCTAAAGTTTTTGTTTCCAAAGTAAAATAAGGGTGTTACTATTTTAACTTTGAGGGAAAAATCTGACGGAAAATGGCGATTCTTGATATCTACCTCCTAAATTTGTCATTGAGTTCTCCATTTTTCACCCGCGGTTAAACAGATTAGTAAACGTGACATGGAACGGAGGTGTTTGTTTGCTCATTATGGCCGAGAGTTTACCTCCGACGAGAAAAACCGTGTTGAAATTGGTAATCAGCCAAATCAGCGTTCATGCAAATTAGCTGGCAATTTTTCAATTATGAAAAATACTGTTTTTCAAAGAAAAATACCCGTAAAAAGAGCCCTTCAAGTTGAAAATTTCACGGTGTCCTTAAAAGTTTACTCTAATAGTCAGGGGGAAGCAACTCGATGATGTCAGGAGGAGGGTGGTTGTTATCGGCTTATGGTTACGATGGCTTTTCCGGCTATTTGATGATTGAAGGGTTAATGGGTGAATGGGTTAAGGGTCAATCCGTCTTCCCGATTTTTAACGGGGTCTATTTTGAAAACCAAAAAACTGTTATTTTTAAGGTTTCTGGTGGAGCAGCCGTGGATGCAATCGACCGAAGCTGCAAACATTTGAAAGAGTGCTACAAATGCGCCAAACAGGAGTGTTCATGAAAAAAGTGAAATTTTTCGGAACAAATTTTGTTTAAATAGATTGATTTTGAACGTAAAAAGTGGCATGGAGACGACTGCGACCCGGCGAATAAAAAGTATGAGATGTTTTCTCGACCAGGTTTGTCGATTTTGGCTGTGAACAATGAAGTTGGAGGCGATGGGGAAGCTGCTGGTTGTGAAAGAGCACTTTTCGAATGCGATCAACAGGTAAGAAAAAATTAAAAAACCATATTTCCCAATAAAAGAATATTTTTCCATATTTTTTTCTATTTGTATAAACGAAGCCTTCTTCTTAATATTTTTAAATATCTCATATGTCTAAGCAACAATTTCTAGTACGCAAAAGAATTGATCAACTCGCTGCCATCCTGGGACGCGGACAAAACAATCTTCTCCGGCCTCTGGGATCCCCAAGGAAATCCAGAGCAATGCTCAGGTCAAAGTTTTAGCACAGAAATGCCGGACAGGATGATGCTTGGATTCGATGACAACTCACAAGCGGACTCTTCTTTTTCTTCGGGACAGCCGGTGGCGATGGAGGCGGATCCGACTGGAGTGATGACCAGGCCGCTGATGGTCGGGCTTTGGGGAAATACGAGGGAGTTGATGGATAACAAACAGGAAAGAGGTTGAAATTCAAAGAAAAAAAGGCTGTTTGCAATTAAAAATCAAATAAATAAGGGTGTCACTATAAAAAAATTTCTAAGAAAACTAGAACTTTTAAATTAACCAAATCCATTTTTACGGAAAATATTTTCTGGAATCTGATTGGCTAACCGACCAAATGAAGACATATAATTGGTCTAAAATATTACGAATATTATGGTTAAAATTGACCCGGATCCGCAAAAAGATCGACAATTTTGACCAAATTTTTGGTAAAATTTTAGACCAATCATATTTCATTACTCAGCCGGTAGACCAATCGAAATTCAGAAAAATTTTGTCATCGAAATTCGAATGATTAGACTCATTTTCGTCGATTCGATCGAGCCACCCTTAATTTTGCACTAAAAATTTTTCCTCAATTTCAACCCCAAAACAGTGCTGCCAAAGCGACGAAGGATTATTAACCCCGTTTAATTCCCAAAAGAAACAGTGCTGCTATGGCAAACCAATGCCTCTGCGCAGCTGTTAACCCAGGCCGGCCATGGGTTAAAACCATTTTTTTTTTCATGAATCGATTCAAACTCATTCCCCTCTTTTTTCTTTGCAGTCAAAAAATCTTCTTGAAAATAACTTTTTAGATTTCAAATCAACTTCAGGAATAATTTTCTGGAACAAATACTGGACCAAAACTATCTTTTTTATAAAAGAAAAGACACTTTTCTTTTTGTAAATATTTAAAAAATCAATCAATTGGACTTCGACTTCGCTGGAATCGACTGAATTCGCGACTTCAAAAATACGGCGAAAAAATCTCGAGAAGAGAAGATCCGTAAAGAAGAAAAAGAATTGAAGCGAGAAAAGCGACGAAAGAAATCGACGAAGATTTTGATAACTCGAAGCTCTTTTATTCAAATATGTGAAATACTGTAAATAAACATCGACACCACTTTTGCCTATCGAAAATTCAAAACTTTTTTCTCCTTTTTTTAGCAAAAATTGAAAAATGAACTTGAAATCATAGAGGAAAATCAGATGGAATTTGGCTCGAAAACCTGTGTAGAAACCTGAGTCAGGGTCTTCAAAAGTCTTTACTGATAACCGAAAACCCTGACTCAGGATTTAAAACAGTTTGCCAAGCTCAGAACTAAGATAAACTCAAAAAATAGAGCCATTTCTTTGCCATCTTGAATTTTTCTCACTGAGACTCTAACTGAAAGGTAATATTTGTACGAAAACAGAAAAGAAAAAAAAGAGGAAAATGGAGGTTTTTCAAAGTGAAATAATGAGCTTGAAATGCGTTGACGCAGATTTGGGAAAAGCTTGTGCAGACACATGCCAAGTGAAAATCGACGAATGCCTCGAATTCTGCGATGATCCGAATTGCAACTCGAGATGTCAGGGACAGTGGCTCGACTGTCTTGCTGCTTGTCCTTGTTACTCAGGTGATTCTTCTTTTCCTCCCTTTTTCTAAGCCCCTTTAGGATGTCCTGATGGGTGCGAAAACTGCCCCAATCCAATTTGCCAAGGCCCTTCAGAGCATCTTTTCATCATTGATGTCCGAATGGAGGAGTTCAACAAAGGAATGCATTGGAACTCCGACACGGGAGAAGTCGAGTTCCGGAATTTCGACTACCAAGTCAACCAGGGATTTGACATTGGTGGGAGTGATTCTCTTCCTTGATTTCAAAATGTTGTTTTTTTTTTTCAGAGGATTCTTGTTACGCAATGATGAATGGAGAGCACTGGCTTCTTGGTGGTTGGTTCAATCCAGAGTAAGGAGGAGAAAACAGCCTTGAATTGAAAATTCTAGCGCCGTGGCAAAAATAGAAAATTGCCAGATTTCGCGGCAAGCGTCAACTCTCGAATTTCCTTTTCACGGCGGGATTTTCGGCTCCTGCGCGAGTTTCAGAAACAAAATCTACACCTGCTTCGATGGTCGTGAAAATCGAACTCGCGAATGCATCACTTTTGATGGAAAAACGCAAGAAATCGCGGCCGGCCAAACGACTCGGGGGCACGATTGGTCCGATCTCGTCGTTCATGATGATGAGCTCGTGACCGTTGGTGGCTGCGATGGGGATGGAGAAAACTGCCATGGCGTGACGGAAATTTACGGAAGAGATGATGGCTGGGTTTCTCACAGCTGGGCGGACTTTCCCGTCCATGAGCTGACCAATCATGCGATGGTTTCGGATTCGAAGGGGATCATCATCATCACGGACAGCAGCTACGACAACACGATCTATCACTTGGACTTTCTCCCCAACAATGTTTATCGCTGGGCCACTTTAGGTAACCTTATTGAAAAGAGAGAGAGAGAGTCGCCTTAGTTCTGATCTTTTTGTAGGGCAGCTTCGGGAATCGGCATTTAACGTTTCGGCAACTTCGATTCTCGGCGACGTCTTCATCGGCTACAACAACTTGGAGAGAATCAGAATCGATGAACGAGAAATCAGCGCTACCATCGTCTACGAAACTGGCTTCGAGCTTCGACTCGATCATGCTCCTTTTTTGGCTGTTGATGCAAACTTTTGCAAAGAAGAATAAAAGGGAAATTATTATTTGAGTTTTTTTTTTTTGCATTTTACACAAAAAATTTTCGTCTTTTCTGAAAATAAAAACAACAAATAAGTACTTTAAATCCGAAGCAAGAATTTTATAGCCACCAAAATTTTCGTCATCGATGAAAAAGTGGTCAAAGATGGCGCTAGAGATGCAACAGGGGGATTTCGCTGAAATCGATTCTGCGCCGCCCTGCGATTGGCTGAATTCTGGAAATTTTCTCACAGCGCAGAAAAGAGAAATTCATTTATTAGTTATTGAATTAGTCGCTCTCGTTAAATTTTATTATTGATAATTAAAAAATGAGAAAACTTGACTTTGAAGAGATTAAGTTTCTAGATTTGAAGAAGAGATCCTTATTTTGGCGGGCGTCTTTATCAGATTTGAAAACAGTTTTTCTGACTTTTGCTGAATCGCGTTTTTGGTTTGAAAAACTTACTTTCTCAATTTCAGATTTGAAGATTGAAAATGACGAAAAAAGAGTTTGAGAGATTGCCAAAGCATGTCAAGCCGATTTCCTACGATTTGCACTTGCATCCTAACTTGGAGACTTTCAAGGTAAAAATTATTCGCGCTTATGAATCTTAGAATTTATTGTCATAATGAATAATTAATTAAATTAAATCCGGGAAACCGCTCACGGCTTCGAGCAGAAATGACGAAAAGCCGCAATAAACGCGGCTTATTTTTATTCGAATATGCAAAAAATCGAAAGGCGAGTCAAAAAGAAATTTACTGGGCTAGGTAACCTCTCATAAAACCTTAGCAAGGGCCTGAAATAGCGACTCGTGTCTCGAATTGAGACTCTCAATCAGTTATTTCGGCCCTGACTCAGGTTTTCTACAGAGGTTCCCGAGCCCAGTAAGTTTCTCTTTGACTCGCCTTTCGATTTCGTTTCATATTCAGGAAAAATAAGCCACATTTATCGCGGCTTTTCGTCATTTCCCCTCGAAGCCGCGTGAAGATCTCGAGCCTATTCAACGAAAAGCAACCCATATATGAATCCCTATATAATATTATAAAGGCTCTTTGTCGGGGATTTTATCTGCTACCGATAGTTCGCTGGAAACGTAAAAATCCTGGTCGATGTTTTGGAAGAAACTTCGACGATCAAAATGAACTCGGCGGAGATTGAGTTTACGGACGCGAAAGTCGGCGAAATCGGCGCCACTTGCGCTGCCGACGCCGAGACAGAAACTGTAACGATCACTACTGCTGCGCCTCTTTCTGTTGGAAAGCATTCTGTCGAGATTAACTTTGTGGGAATTCACAATGATGATATGAAGGGATTCTACAGGACGAAGTCGACCAACAAGGACGGAGTTGCAGAGTATTCGCTCGTGACGCAATTTGAAGGATAAGGGTCTCCAGTCGCGAGTTATTATTTCAAGGAAAGAGAATAGAAAAGGCCTACCAGACATCGTGAGCAAACGATCTTCATCATTTTCTCAAGGAGTTATCGTAGTGACCACCTTAAAATTTGGAAGATCGAGAATCTACTTGCTGCTTCGAGTCTTAAAATAAAGGAAGCCGCCCAAAGCGCGGCTTTTTTTATAAAGAAGCTCGAAGCCGCAAGCGGCTTCTCAATTAAGGGTGTCACTATAATAAGCCCAAGAAAATACAAAAGATAGTTAGTTCATGATATTTGGTAGATACTGTCTAAATAGGTTTCTTTCGTTGCCTCGCGTTTTCTTCCTTTTTCAATTTTCTTTGTCAACTCGTAGAAAAGGACGAGTATGGCCTAGCGACCCTTTTCGCAGCTACTGATGCTCGCCGCGCCCTTCCCTGCTGGGACGAGCCTGCCTGGAAGGCCACTTTCAAGGTTCGCCTCACAGTTCCAGAGGCCAAAACAGCGCTTTCGAACATGGACGTCGTCGGCGCGATCAAGAACGAAAACGGGACGATCACTTACGAATACAACGAGACGCCGATCATGTCGACTTACTTGCTCGCTTTCTGCGTCGGCGAATACGATTACGTCGAGGGCAAGACAAAGAGTGGAATCCTCGTTCGAATCTACACCGAAAAGGGCGTCTCGCATCAGGGCAACTTCGCGCTCGAGTGCGGAATCAAATGCTTGGACTTTTACGAAGACTACTTCCAAATCAAGTATCCTCTCCCGAAATGCGACATGATCGCCGTCGCCGATTTCGCCGCTGGAGCGATGGAAAACTGGGGCTTGATTACTTACCGATCCGTTTGCATCCTCTTCGACGAGGAGAAATCGACCCTCCGAACGAAGGAACGAGTCGGCATTGTCGTCGCTCACGAATTGGCGCATCAGTGGTTCGGAAACTTGGTCACGATGGAGTGGTGGACTCATTTGTGGCTCAACGAAGGTTTCGCCACTTTCATGGAGTACCTGGCGATCGACAACTGCTACCCCGACTGGTCGATTTTCGACGAGTTCATCGGCAGCACTTTCTACCGCGCGCTCGACCTCGACGGACTGGACAGCTCCCACGCGATCGAAGTCCCCGTCGGCCACCCTTCCGAAATCGACGAAATCTTCGACACGATCTCTTACTGCAAAGGCGCGAGTGTCATCCGAATGCTGTACGAGTGGATCGGCGACGCTGCTTTCCGAAAAGGCATGAAGCAGTATTTGACCAAGTTTTCGTACAAGAACGCGTTCACTGAGGATCTTTGGGAGTCGCTTTCTGAAGCTTCTGGATTGCCAGTTGGAGATGTCATGTCCGGCTGGACTGGCAGACTTGGCTTTCCTCTCGTTTCCGCCAAGGTCAAGTCCTGGGATGAAAACGGTCTTACAGTAACTCTCACGCAAAAGAAATTCTCCGCAACAAATGGCGCCGTCGACGCTGCTTGCTGGCGAATCCCAATTTCCTACATCAAATCAACCGACAGCAAAATCGAACAAGTTCTGATGTCCGACGCCTCCATCGACGTCGAAATCAAAAACTTGCCAAAAGACGGCTGGGTGAAATTCAACGCCGGCGCCACCGGTTTCTACCAAGTCCACTACGACGAGACGCTTTTCAACGCGATCAAGCCAGTTGTCAAGAATTTGACCCCTCGCGATCGAGTCCAGGTCGAAGCCGATCTATACGCCGCCTGCAAAGCTGGAATCGAGAAATCGTCTCGTTTCCTCGACCTGGCTCGCTGCTACAAAGGCGAAATGGACTACAACGTCTGGAACGACTTCAGCTCGAGCTTGGGCAGCTATCGAAACTTGGCCGAGTCTCTTGGCTGCAAAGAAGAAGCAAAGGCCCTTCTCCGGGAAATCTACTCTCCAACTGCAAGCGCGATCGGCTTCGAAAAGAACGACAAGGACAGCCACTCGACTGGCAATCTCCGATCGCTCGTTTGGGGACAACTGGCCAAGTGCGATCACGAGGAACTGAACGTCTACGCAGCCGAGAACTTTAAGAAAATGGTGGAAGATCCGACTTCGACGCATTTGAATCCAGATATGCAGGGCGTCGTTTTGACCACTGCTGCGCGCCAACAGAAAAGCTTGGACGATTTGATCAAGTTGCACACCGGTTTCCCGATGCAGGAGCAAAAGTCAAGGACCGAAATCGCCATCGGATCAGTTCAGGGAACAGAACTGATGGCCAAAGCGATTGATTACGCTTTCAGGTACAGTTTATTAATTTGCAAATATAATAACCTTGGACATTCAGTGATGCTGTCCGTCAACAAGACATGACTTCATTGTTGACGACGATTTCTGCTTCTTCGTTGGAAGGCCGCGACGCAATTTGGGCGATGTTGCAGAACAAATGGGACTTCTGGAAGAACTTCAAGGGAAGCTTTATGGATGTAGGCTGATAAATTCAAACTCAAGCTTTTGCTAGCACTTTTTTCTTGAAATTATCTTTTTCGTTTTTCGTTTATTGAGCTTATTTATCAGTCTGCTTGGTCGGACGAATGCTGAACAATGCGATCGCTCGATTCGACACCCTCGAAAAAGCGGACGAAATCGAAAAATACTTCAACGATTCGCCAATTGAAACCGCTAGAAGAGCCGTCTCACAAGGTAACCTTTTCCTTCCATCTCTTTCTCATACCCATTTTTCAGCTCTTGAAACGGTTCGGCTAAAGGCAAAGTGGCTCGAGCGAGACGCAGAAGACATCCGCCAGTTCCTGTCTCAATACAAGCAATAGTAAATCACTCAAGAAACTGCCCTAGAAAGCACACTTCAACATCTACATGTAACATTTTTCAAATCTGTCAGTTCCTACTTCTCTTTTGAAAGAAGGTTTTTATTCATGAAAAATTGCTTCATTTTTTCCCTGATTTCCCTGAGTTCAATAACAATAACATGTAACCTTATTTTGCGATATTTACTAAATAAAATCACAAGCTGTCAATGAAAGAATCATACAATAATTGTTTTGAAGAGTAATGACTCTGAAGGATGTTTGGGAATTGGTCAGGAGGTTGATGAGGTTTGGCCCGCTCATGACGATGGCTACAATTGGTATTGTCTGGTGTGGGGGCCTTATCAGCTTGATAACGTAGGAGCTGCAGTAATAACGGATTTCGAGCAGATTCAGATACTTTCCGCCATCGAAAACGATCGCGAACAAAGTCAACTTTCTCTGTTATTTCTGCTGGCTGCCCTTCACCGTCACCAATTTCTTCAAAGCAATCCTCCTCGGCCCTGGCTACGCGCCGAAGGGCTGGAAGCCTAAAGTTCCCGGAGACGAGCAGTTCCTACAATTTTGCCAAGTGTGTCAAGGATTCAAGCCGCCGCGCGCCCATCACTGCCGAAAATGCCAGCGCTGTTGCTTGAAAATGGACCATCATTGCATCTGGCTTAGCCAGTGCGTTGGGTAAGCTTTTCTTCTCTCCCCTTTTTACTGTTATTTCAGTTATCGCAACCAAGCGTCGTTCATGTACTTCTTGTTCGGAGCCGTTTTCGGAGCTCTTCACGGAACATTCCATATCATCTTCTTTTCTTATCAACAACTTTGGGTTAGACTCACTCTTCAGCCGAAGCTAGTCCTGGGGGTTATGATTTCTTCCGGATTCGGAATTGGAACAGGTAGATTTTTGAAAAAAACTCTTGAAATTAGTCTCTCAGCTTTCTTCCGATCCCCGAGGCCGAGTAAGGGGGCTAATCCCTCTTCATTTTTCATTTGAAGCCCAATCCCCTTTCATCATCAAAAACAGTCATTTTTTAGTTATTGCCGTTGGTGTCTTACTGTACTCGCAACTGCAGATTGTTTTCACAAACATGACAGGTATTGAATCGTGGATCGTCGAAAAAGCCAACTGGAGACTAAACGAAGACAAAAAAGATGAAGAAAAAACACAGTTCAATTATCCATATGATTTGGGGCGAAGCGCCAATTTCTGGCAAGTTTTTGGGAAGGACGAAAGAATTGATGGATTTTATTTTCCGGTGAAAGAGGGGTGCAATATTTACAGTCTGACAATCGAGCAGCTTTTGCAGAAGAAGATCAAGGAAGTGAGGAGCGTCCCCTTCAAGTGCATCAAGTCGTACAGGTACTTTTACTGAAGCTTCTCAGCTTATAAAATCTTCAGTGGTCGAAAATGCCCGTTTCTTTCTTTTCCAAAAATCGCAATCTTCACTCCTATCCTCTCCGACCTTTTGCCGATCGAAGAAGGAGACGACATAATCATCACTCGCGGGAAAAAGCACTGGTACTACGGATACAAAGCCGGGAACAAGGAAACTCGGGGGTTCATGCCAAAAACTGCGCTTCAACCTGTCGAAGAGCCAAAAAAGGAACTTTAATTTGTTCTAGCTTCTGAATCACTCTTTTTTCTTCACTGTATATTTGGAAAAGACTTATCATATCTTAAATTAAAGCCAAGGTTTTCTCCTAAAAATTTATTCTGTAGAAAACGAAATGTTATTCGGACAAATCAGTGAGCATTTTCAAGCCTCTGCTATCAAAGTGCATGACCATATAATTGACAAACTGTTCGAAAAACCACGATCCACCAGACTCATTCTTTCCAGTTCCAACCGTTTTGATCGCGGAAGCAAACCAGGTCTCAACTTTCGGGAAGACGATATCTTTCAGCCTCTCCATCGTGTTTTCGTATCCCTTCTTCTTGATCCCTTCGAACAATAGTTATGAGTTTGGAGCAAAGTTGTAGTACCTTTAGTGAGGAAGGTTGTCAAACTTGTCCTAATAAAAGCGGGGTAGAAGACATGATGAATGATTCCGGTTTTCGATGTTGGATAGAGTTGCTCAATCGATCTCGAGAAGTTGATCTGAATAACAGGTTGAACAGACCGAGAACTCTTTACTAAACGTACCACATGAGACTTGGTTCCAGCATAAATAGGATTTGCATCCAAAGCAGTCAGCCCAGCAGAAGAACCCATGTGCATCAAGACGCCCTTCTTTCTCTCAAGCATCCCTTAGAAAATACTCCAAAAAATATTTTTCCTGATAAAATACCTGGCAGAACCATGCGGGTCATCAAGACAGGAACCTCCGCGTTCAAAGTCATAATCTTGGTAACTTTGGAAGGAGTCGATCCAGCGTAGTTCCAGAAGGCTTTCTTTTCTTCGGACATTCCTGCGTTGTTGAAGAGAATACTGATCTTCTGCTTGAGCATTTCTTTCTCGAAAGAAGCGTATACTTCTGGCTCGTGCAGGGTGGTGAGGTCCATGACTTTGGTGATGAGAGAAATCGAATACTAAAAAATTTTCATTTTACTTGAAAATTGAAGCGATTTTGCATCTTTCGAGGCGAAAAACTTACATTTTCTTTGATTTCCTTTGCCGTTTCGTTCAATTTCTTCTCGTTGAAATCAACAAGGATCAAGTTGATGCCCCTCTTCGCGAAATACAACGCACACTGTCTTCCAATCCCCTCAGCACCGCCGGTAATCAAAGCATATCCATCCTCAGCGACGCTTTTGAAGTCGAAGTCTCTAGCGTAATAATACAACGAGAAAATCTTCCATTGATTGTACAAAAATTTCGCGACAACGAGACCGCCCAAAATCTGTAAAAAGGTCAAAAATTCCATAACCGGGTTATTTATTTTTCTTGCTTGTTTTTTGCTGCTTTTATGGACGGAGACAAATAAAAATTACATAAGTGGTCTATTTCAAGGACGCGCTGTACAGGTCATATTTGGAAAAATCGCTGAATGATGGTGGTGCCACCATTTTTTGGCATGGAAAGTTCCGCTGGCGAAAAATGATTTGGTAATTGCATGGAAAATAAACAATCATGTTCATCTTGAATACAGAGACTCTGAACTTTGTACTGACTATATGACTCAAATTTATGGTAAAACCATCAAGAGTTTCTATTATTATAAGAGCTTCTCGATATTGACGATAATTAGGCCATCACTTCTTCCCGTGTTTTAAAGACTCGAACGCCTAAATCAGTTCGAAAAGCTCACCATCAATAAAATAGAAGGATAAAATTTTGTTGATATAATTTGGCGCGAAAATCTCGAAGGAATCGATTTTTATTTTTTGAAAATGAACAAAATGTGACAATAAGAGATGCACAGATGATTCATTTATTGAATTTGTAATGAAAATAAAAATGAGGGAAAAGCTAAAAATTATTTCTTCTAATTGTTTTTCGATCGTTTTTTAGACGCAATAATTAGCGGGAACTTCAAAAAGAACAGGAATATAAGTTTCGTCAGCATTTCCGATGACTCGTTGATTGATCAGTCGATCTCCATCGAAATCCAGTCGTTCGATTGAGAAACTTCCGAAGCCAGGGACGATGAAAATTGAGTTATCGACCATAATTGCAGATCCAGAAGAGCAGGCCTTAATTTAAATCAAAATCTATGGCAGTTTAAGAAACTTACGTGATGGAGATCACCGATTTGTTCCCAAATGTCGTTTTCAAGAAGCCAAATTGCTTTTTGTCCTTCAAAATTATGATTCCATCCCACGGCGAGCAAAAGACTTCCACTTGGAAGGCCCATCAAAACATGATATCTTATGAAACTATAATAGTTATAATAAATTAATTATTTTTTTTTTCATTACTCTTTCGGGAAATCAGGTAAACTTGTCCAGCCCGACGAACCAAGGGTCTCCACTTTATTCCTTCCATCGCGGTACAAGCCTCCGACAGTAGTCGGTTTTCCTTGATAGAAGCCGAGTCTTCCTCCCCAATGAGTATAATCTGAAGAGAATCTCTCGAATGAATATTCTCCCCCGAAAACTTCACATCTGTTGCTGTCGTCACAATCAAAGCAAATTAAAGCTTTTTGTCCATCATCCACCGTAAGCGCCGCAGAGCCATACGAAAATCTATTGATCAATCGAGTTTGCTGTTCTGTCCAAGTGCAGCCTTCCAGTTTCGCGATCTAGACTCAATTATTTTCAAAATTATAAATTTACTTACTTTTTGTTTATCCTTCCATCCTCCAAAAATGAAAAGCTTGTTTTTGACAACAGCATGTGGGGCCCATTGATGATAGTCATTGCTCGGAGCCACAATCGTCGCGTTTTTCCTTGTTTTTCCATCCAAAGAAATCGAAAATGCATCTTCCAAGTAATCGTTCATAACCAAAATTGCCTTTTCATAAAAGTAGAAATTTTTGATTTCCGCGCGATCATCAAATTTGAAGATCCGCATCTTTTTTGTCTTCAAATTTTCAAAGCCGCTTATTTTCATTTTCGATAGTTCTCTGTTTTTCTTTTTATTCTTTTTTGGATCATTTTTGTCGATAAAGCAAAGCGTTTATTTTTTATTTAACCTTTCCTCGGTAATTTTTAAAGAAGTTTCCATTGAACTCGATGAGTTGAAATGAAATTCTAATTTCGACAATTGAGTGATTTTCGTTTCCAAAAACGAGCGAGCTTCGAAATAATCAGAATCAATCCAAACAGAATTATTTGAATAAACTCCAAAACTGAGAAAAGTCGATCCATCAAAAAAACTCGATTCAAGTATTTTAATTTCTTCGAAAATGCGCGATTTTTGCGGAAAGTATATTTCGAATTGAAAATATTCATGTTCATTGAATTTCATCTCCACTGTTGAAATGTGATTTAATTCTGCTGGAGAAGTAAAGAATTGATCCGGAATGATTGTTCTGAAAACAACTATTGGTGGAAATTCTCTTTGAGCAGCGGCATTTCTCGCGAAAGCTGGAAAAACATCGTCGTGGAAGGCAAAATTCGGGTTACTTGTCACGTGCATTTGATTATCGGACTTTTGTTGAACAAATTCAATCTCGATCAGATCTTTTGCAGGAATTTGCAATTTGATACTAACTTGGTACAGTAAAACTTAGCCAACGACTTCATTGGAAAAGGTAAAATCCTTTCCGAAAAGAAACTTGATTTCAAAAGAAACATCAAAAACGTAATTTTGAACAAAGATTCTGTCATCGTTGACGATTCCGTTTCCAAAATACTCGCACTCATCCTTGTTGTTTCCTTTTGAATCTGTATAGTTTGGATCATCGGAAGCAAACATTGTCGAAAAACAGACAGAATTTTGACGTTTCCCTTCGTATTCAACCAATGAACCGATCCATTCGCGACCGAGAGTCACAAATTTGCCCTCAACCTCCAGCAACACAGAAAACAGTGTGTTTGAGAGCTTTATACTCCTTGTGACAAGAATCAAAATCAGACGCCCCAAATCGGTCTTATTTGAATTCAAACTTTTCAACTTGAAAAAAAACAAAGCACCATGTATTTAAATGCTTTTGATTTTCTTAAATTTTGAACCCATTTCAAAGGAAGAACATGGACTGGATCCAAATCCCTCAATTCTCGTGGTATTTGTATCTCGCCCTTTCTCCATCCTTTCTCAAGCTCTTCGTCTCTTCTTATTCTATTGAGGGCCTTTGTCGTCGACAACTTGATGTAAAAGTCGCCCATTCGAACACTCATCAAATAGAAAACTCCTTTGAAACTTGCCGAAGATACTTTCGCGTTGAAATGGTTGCTTGCGATGTAACCCTGAGCTTCTTCGAATCGCTTCAAATTATAGTCGGGAGCGTAGTAGAAGCATTTTTCGTCCCTGCTTGTTGGACGGCTTTAAACGGTCAAAATTCGTAGCTTTATAGACTATGAATAATAAAAATATAACACAAAAAAACAAGTTAAATGAACAATTGACGAGAAACGACCATTTTCAAATGACAACGACTGGGTACAGTTTGATTTCGTTCTCTCGATGGCGAATTTCAATTTGATGAGCTCCAATCGAAGACCCAAAGTGAAAGACGAAAAAACCTCTTAAAAAAAGAAGTAAAGCCAAATAAACATTAATAGCTCACATGTTTTCACGCCGATTCGAAATCAAGATCGAATCGGTTCCGGCTTCCTTAACTCTGAGCAAGTTTCCAAGAGCATCAACGAGATAATGCTCCCCACTAAGAAAAGTGGCACCGATTGACTTTCACGTTTTTGTCATATTAATAATTTTGAGATGAAAGAAATTCTCCGAAAAAACGTTCATAAGATAGCAGAGAATCCCAACCATTCAGTCGTTGAGAGTTGCCGTCAATATCGGCAAAGAGAACAGGGAATTTTTCCTTTTCAACGCTCTTTCGATCCTCCAAACGATCTGTTATAAGCTGAATATCACCATTTGAGCCTGTTGTCGTTGAGTTTGAAATATCGACGTTCCTCGACTTGTTTTCCAAATCAAAAACAGGAATTAATTTTTGCCTCGACTCAAACTTCTCGCATTCGTAAAATGGACAAGGACATCCTTTTGGGCAGTATTCCTCGAATGGGCAGACTTTTCCAGCCGCTTCGGAAGCTCTAGTCAGTTGAAAACACATCGATTCGCAAGGCGAGATCGGCTTTGTCCTTCTTGATTGCAAGACAAGCGTTTCGGAGCAGAGATGGCGGCAGATCTTCTGGTCGTAAAACTGTTTCTTCTGACAGCGAAGGAGATTGACTTCGTTCTCTTCTTCGGAAAAGTCAAGCGGCGTCGCTTTGGCATTTTCGATCTGAGATACCGGTTCCGGGAGTATAAATTCTTGCGTTTCGAAACATTGCTTCATCAAATGTCCGCAGATATCCATTTCGGCGATCCGAACGCATTCCTTGTAATTTCGATTGCAAGTCGAAGTCAGAAAAGTCGTCACCGCGCGAGATTTTTCAAGAGAATGCACATTCGCTAGAAAAAAAATTCGATCAATTATAATTTCATGAAAAGTACCAAGAAGCATGACAGTAATCCAAAACAGGGTGCCAGAACTGAGATAGGAGCCCATTTGAAGCATGGTCGAAAATCCGTGCTTGGCAAAGCTCAACTGCGCGGCCGCTTTTTTCTTCCATGTTTTCTCCTTTTTCAAATCTCGCTTTCGAGTGTGAATGCTTCGAGTTGTCAACACTTCTTCGGGAAATAAATAAACTTTTTCCCCTGATTTTCTCAAAACACCGATGCAGTCGCAATCAAGACACTTTGAAAATAAGTCTCTTTCCTAACCAAAGTCTATTTACCTGAACTTTTGTCCGAAAAATCGGATTCTCCGTTCTCTCGTCGACTTCTTCGATAACCATAGCGATTGATCTCTGAAAGAGAAAAAGCTATTCTGAGGAAAAACCGAAAGAGCGTTCGCTTATGAGAACCGTCTTCACGAGTATTTGTCTGACAGTTGGACAGCTTGAGCTCCGTTTTCGTTCCTTTCTGAATGTCACTAGCCTTACTTTGCTCTTTTCAGAGCCGTTATTTTTGGTTCGATTCAATTAAATTCAGAAAAGAGCACTGCTTTTTTTAAGATAACCAGATCAAAATTCTTGAAATCAATGAATAAGATATTTATTTCAAGCAACAAGAATGGGAATAGGATGAGATTCTTCAAGCGAGTCGGAGATTTTTGAGTTTTCTTTTGAAATTTCTCGCATTTCTGGCTCGTTTTTGTCTTCTCCCGCTCCATCATTTTTACAAGCTCGAATTTCTTCTCGCCCTTCGCATTTTTGACCCCACTGGCGAATCGTTCCCTAAATTTTCGGACCCTTTTAATCGATCTCTGAAAAAATCCGTCGTTTTCTCCGTTGTCTTCAACTTGACTGAACC